GGTGTAGTCCAACCCTCCTGCTCAAGCAGGGTCCTCTAGAGCATATTTCCCAGGATCATGTTCAGGCGGGTTTTGAGTATCTCCAGAGAAGGAGACTCCACAACCTCTCTGGGCAACCTCTTCCAGTGCTCAGTCACCTCACAGGAAAGAAGTTTTTCCTCGTGTTCAGATGGAACTTCCTGTGTTTCAGTTTGTGCCCGTTGCCTCTTGTGCTGTCACTGGGCACCACGCAGAGGAGACTGGCCCCATCCTCTCGACACCCTCCCTTCAGACACTTGTACACATTGATGAGATCCCCTCTCAGCCTTCTCTTCTCCAGGCTAAAGAAGCCCAGCTCTCTCAGCCTTTCTTCATAGGAGAGATGCTCTAGTTCCCTCATCATCTTTGAAGACAAATCTGTTTGTGTTGCATGTTTTCAGACTTGAGACATTTTGTGCATGTGTGTGCTGAAAGGTTGCCAAGTTGTTTATTTTCATTATTCAGTTGTCTGGGTTGGCTGACCTCTGCATCCAGGATGATTTGCTAATGCTGGATCTAGTTTCTTTTATTTTTACTTTCCTTTACTGCTAGAAGGAGTACATCACATTTCTGACATAACTCAAGCCTTGTAAAGTGAACCAGTGTAGTTATTAATGGATTTCATCAGCTAATCTAGTGGCTTTAGAAAATGTCAGCATGTGTTGAGTACAGTGCAGGCTTAATAGTCTACTTCATGTGCCTATATGTTCAGATTTAACTGTGAATCACAATGTTTTGAGTGACTATACAACAGGCAGAATATGATTTTGAGTAGCTTCCATGAGGTTTTTTAATAATAGGATCTAGGTATTGGCATTGCATGTGCAGAGAAGCTACAGGAAGTGAAAATTCTGCCATTTTACAGTAAGTTGCAAAACACTGTTTTATTGGCTGAGTTTGCATTTTATGCTCAACAGCATTTATAACACTGTGTTAACACAGTTCTTCATAACACGTTTAATGAATTCCAACAGTTTAAGGAATTTGCTGGGCACAGTAAATTCAAATCTGTTGATTAGAGTGGAAAGCAGGGATTGAAAACAGTGTATTGAGGGACACATGAAACCCTTGTCTGTTCAGCAGAGCTGCTGCTTCAGGTATTTTGTAGTTGTCTATAGATCAGAGGCTTATTGACGACCCTTGTTAATGCCTTCTACCATAACGCGGTTTTATTATGCTTGTTATTTCATGAGATTTTTAGTGTACTGCTACACTAGATAGCTATTTTCTTAGTCTATAATTTTTACGTTCAGGGTGCATTTAGATGTCATAGCAAAAATAGTCTAAACTCAAGCTACTATGGAGCAGTGCGGTCCTATTTTCCCTTCTGGGCATTCCTAATATTTCCTTTCCATGGGATATAGTGATCATGTGGTGATGAGGTGAATCAACTCATTTGGAAGAACAGTTTCCTGACAAGTCAGCTGGCTGAATCAACTTGACACTGTGGCCTTATGATCTCTAGGCCTACAAGATGGGGGAAATGGCGACTCAAGGTCAAAAGTGAGGAGTGAAACCACCAGTTTTGGTGGCAGCTAGCTGTTAGATTGGCATAGCTGAAACACCAAGCTGCACTTGCACATTGCAGTAATGTGTAAATCAACTTAAACAGCCTTTTTATCCCTTCCCTTTGCTGCTCATTTCCTCTCCTGTGCTGTTGTAGGGCATAATAGCACAGGATGATCTAGATTGGGAAAATGATCTAGCTGTAAAGTAACTTGAGCAAAAAATTTTTGAATTGGATCAGTTCCCTATCACATTGCAGTGATCATGAGAGGATGGGAACAGCTGGACATGGTAGGGAGCTTCTTAAGCAGACATTATTCTTGAAGATATATATTTTAAACACAGGCCCAGATAAAAAGAGAAAAGTGACGCTAGTAGAGAGAAATGGGGCAGGCATATAGCTTGTGGAGCTGATGGGAAATGTGGCCTCTGATGGGGAAGATTAAGATAAAGTTCTAGAGAAAAGAAAAGGCAAATCCTGAGAGAGGCACTTTGGACAGCATACATGTAGACTCTTTGGTGTAAGAGAGAGGTGAGAGGATGATATTGAAAGAAGCTTTTGGGAAGACTGTGGAAGAGCAATTCTGGTCCCTGAATGAGCTTTATTTGCAGAATCTGGGAAAGAAGTGGACTTCTAATTATAACAGCTTTCAGTTTACAGAAGTGCATCAGTGCTAGGATTTTTTTTTTTTTCCATTTTCTCCATATAGACTGATGTAAAAAACTTAATGTGTACGGTAAGTGTTTTTTTTTTTGTTTTTAAAGTGTAGTGTTAAAGTTGCATAATGAAGTTGCTGGCTTTCCCTGCTGTGCATAAGAATGTTGTTTTGTAAGAATTTCATTCAGCAACCAGAATCAACTGTATATTCTTTGCAGTGACAGTCCATTCAATTAATTTTTATTCCTGGTTTAGCAGTAGTACAGGGAGTACATTTATGAATGTATTACAGGAGGTTCTGTTTTTATTGGGTTGTCTGGAATTTTTCTGATGCAAACAGAAAAGATGAATAGGAGACTGAGGTGTTTTGATAGATGAAATAAATCCTCCAGCTATTAGTACTGAAGAAAGAGTATTGCTAATACACATACTTACTTTGTACTTTTTACAAGTATTATTTTTATTTAGTATAGCAAGAAAGAGACTTAAGAGTTAAAATAAGATCAAGGAAGAACAGCTGCTTCTCATTCTGACTCTTCCTAACTCTTTCTCATATGATAAGCATCATCATCATATGTAGATTTGGACTTGAAGGCACAAGAATGGTTGTCAAAAGAAATAAGACTGGAACATTTCAAGATGAATTGCTCACACTTGTCTTCCTGCGTTGTGGAAAAAAGTTACATAAGCTGTTATCTAGGGATTGGAAGGGGAAGAAGGGACAGGGAAGAGGGATGGGAAGCAGTAGAAGATTATTACTGATGTTCTTTCCTCTTTTTTTGGTGCTTAAGTATTTTTCAAAAAACAAAATGGTTGAGATGGAAGAAAGCAAATTCAAACAAAAATCAGAGTATACTTTTGTGATATAGGAGCTGTCATGGAATACTGACTTAAATTGCTCGGATGTTGGTTCCCTGTTGTATCTCCTCTACAGTTGTGCTGCCTCAGTGTTTTATAGGCTGCTCTTTGGGTTATGTTGGTAACATGACCCTTGTGCAAGTCCTGGCTCTGCCACTCTGTCCAACTACAGCTACTTCCTTTTCCACAACTTTTTATCAGCCATACCTTTTGTTTTGATTTCTGCTGTTAAATCTTTCTCTTATCCAGGATCTAATTTTCCTATTTTAACTGTCTCCTCTGGCTGCTCTGGCATCCACATAAATTCCTGTAACATATGCAGAAGGTAAAATTTCTAGCCTGTTTGTTTTATCTATGTCATCTTCCTCTCCTCAGTCTCTCTTTTGTTGTTAAACCAATGAAAGTAAAATCTTGATTTAAATATTAAATTGCCGTTTAGTTTTACATTTGTTTACTGTAGTTACTTTCTAAAAGAGAGAATTCTTTTCAATGGCTAGCAAAACTGAAGTCATCTGATCTGATCTACTAAATGTAACTCTGTTAAATTTGCTTTTTTGCTTTGTCTTGCAAACAGTGCATTTAGCCAATTACAATTTTACATTTTATTATGTGAGAAAATGGCTAGCAAATATCCTAAAAACTAAGGAGTGTATCTTACCTTTTGATTTGTGCTGAACTGCTTTTCAGTGAAGATTAGTAATCAATAAAAATGAAAGCCAGCATTTTGTAATTGTTTAAAACTGTTGAAAGTAGTTACTTGAGAAGAGTATCAGAATAGATTTTACATTTCAAATCTCAAAGCAGAGTAAATACGAGACAGTTTGCGCTCAACACGTCCCTTAAGATTTTAGAACCAGTAGATGATCAGCCCCACATGTAATTTTATTCATAGATTACAGATCTAATTACTATTCTCAGCGGAACTGAATGAATTGGAATGAAGAAAATGGTCCCTTCTCTTTACAAAGATACTGCATGGACCAGTATTTGGTTTTCCACATTCAGAATAATATACTTAACATTTTAAAATATTAAATACTTTAAACTGTAATAAAAGCATGTATTTATGTAATTTTAATTCACCATGATTTATCTCTGTTCTTGTTTCCTTTACTGAACTAATGATAACCTCTTCTGATTCCAAGATTTACTTCTACGGTGCTATTTCCAGGAAAGAAATTGAAAATTAATGGCACGGTTGAAGGACAGGTTAACTTTTTTGCCTACATAAGGCATATAAGTAAAATAATTGAGAAGATTATTGATAACATTTTAGTCTCTTATGCCTTCACGTTTGTCTTTTTCAGTGATTAAACTTGGCAAAAAATTGTGTCGTCTTTATGATGTTACAGTACCAAACACAGCATAAGGGTTACGGGGGGGAAGGGCACCCTCAAAACACCAAAACGATTGTCCTGATAGACTTCAGTTCTGGAGAGGGAAAGACTTAGCTATTTTTTAAAAAACAACATAAGTTTAAAAATGATATATTTTTCTTCAAAATATTTTAACTTATCCTGGTTTTACGTTCGAGAAAATATGGAAAGTAAATTTCCTTTTTTCAGTTTGCATATATCTTGTGTTCAGTTTCAGTGTTACCGCTTCAGTAAAATTAGTTTTATTTAGTCATGTAGCTTTGCATAGTGTATGGAAGACACTATTTAAATACATAAAATGTGACTGTAACTTCCCTGAATTGGAAAGTGAGACTTCTAAAGATGCGTTTAAACTAGTATTTAGAAATTCTCTAGGTCTCAGTGTAATTATCTTCAGATGTTTTGTGTTCCTTCTCTTTATTTAAAAGCCATTTTTTAATGTTGTAATTGTGATTGTGGACATTGTGCCATGGATACTGTTTAAAACAAAAAAATATATATATATATGTATATACACACATACTTTTTTTTTTTCTTTACAGAAAACCAACTTTTGGATGTCCTGTGGAATGATATATCTTTGGCATGGATTATCTGTTCACTTTTTTCTTTTTCTACAACCTGAGGCAAAAATGCGTGTGCTACATCTGATAGAAGAATTAATTGTGGGAAAAGTCAAATGGCTATGCCACATTAAGAAGCTGATTTAAGAATGTTTATATTTCATGCCAGTAATGCACAGCTGGGAAAGATTATAGCCCAGTAGTTAAACAAATTACTTTTTTTTTTTCCTCCCAGTTCAAAAAGAACAAGTAACCAACATATGTTTTACTATGTGTTTCCTGATTATTTAGCATTGAATCTTTTATTACACTGAAATCATGGTGTGATGATTGGTAAAATCTCCCCCTAACAGACATCCAACAGCTAAAGACTGTACGTCAAGATGACCTCTGAGGAAATGACAGCTTCTGTTCTTGTGTCTGTGGTACAGGGTAAAGTGATACCTGCTCAGTCAGCTGGGGATGAAAATAGTGAAAATGCTTTGAACGCCAGTGTTATAAAAAGACATACTGCCAGTCCGGGAAGGCAAACCACACGCACGCGTTCATACTTACACAGACTTGAAGAAGAAAGTCTTCAGGGCTCTCTGCCCAAAATATTCTCTCTGGCAAATGAAGAAATGACTAATGACAATAGTAATGAAAACTTCTGGGAGAGAAACAGCTCCATCCCTGATTCAATGGAATTTCTTAATATTAACTGTAACATTGTACAGAAAAACTATGAGAGCATTATTCCCTGCAGCCAGTTATATAAATCATGTGATTCTTTAGTAGGGGGAGATACATGCCTGGAAACTGGAATTCCTGTTTCACTGGAAAGAGCCATGCTTGCTGAAATTCAGTTGAAAATGGATGGACCTTCATTAAGAAGCCAGTCAGCAGTGAAGAAGAACGACACTAATGATTCTGATAAGGTAGCCTTTTTTCACTTTCATTGTGCTAGTGAAAGAAATATATCAAAGGCTTTATGCAGTTTACACAACAGCTTCATTTTGGATAACTGCTTGCAGCCAGTAAGTTCTGACGATCACACCACTGGTTCTACAGCCTGCGCTTGCAGATTAATGGAGTTGACAAATAATTGTGAGCATGGAAATGGGCAACAGTTGTATGATGATTGTGACACTTTAAGGGATAAGTGTTTATGCCTGGAAAGAACAGCAAGAAAGGTTAAAGTAACGTGCTCAGGTCACAACTTCTGTGGAAATAACTTTACTGGAAGAATGCCCTCAAAGCCATTTCTGAGCCATTTTGAAGACTGCAGTGATAACTGTGAGGAAGAGATGGAGGAGGATTTGTTTAGAAACAAAAAGGAACGTTCCACTTTATTAATAAGACGTTTTTGTAAGAATGATAAGGAGGTTAAAAAATCAGTTTATACTGGAACAAGAGCAATTGTTAGGACTCTACCTTCAGGGCACATAGGAACTGTGTCTTGGAATTATGTTGAACAAAGAAGAAACAGCCGTGGCTTGAAGCATTGTAGGATTACAACAGAACAGCTAACTGTAATTCAGTCCTTAATAAAATGGGAATTTAATTCTTTTCTTCAGAAGTCTTTATGGTATGAGGTAAGCTTTTCATAGTTTTTCTTTTTGTTTGTTTGTTTCTGTAAGACTTGCTAACCTGGTGACCTTTCATTCAACAAAATGCTTTTGACCCGTAAATATTTATTACCACCTAATAGGATATTTCACCTACCCATATTGAACCTCAGTCTTGTGTTGAACGCTGCTTTTTAGAACTACATATGTCTAATGCTTAAAAACTCATTTTGATTTAAAATTAGCATGGTGGAAAATAGATAATTTGACATTTACCTAAAATTGTATTTATGGATATTTATATACGTATTTATATAATAACCTTTAATTATATTAAATTGTGTCAGTGATAGCAGAAGAATGAACTTGATAGCCCAGGAGCTCCATGATGATTGTGTCCTCCAATGATACCCTAATATCCTTCTAGAAACTAATATATTTCTGTTTGGGTAGATGATTAAAGAGTAGCAAGAACAGCTATCCCTCAGTTCTTGTACTAGATAGCAAAGCTTTGTGATGCTGTTCCTTATTGTCATATTCACTATCCTAAGCAGTGAAAACTATATACTTGCTAGTACATCATGTGCCATGCTGGATGGTCACACTGCACTAAAGGAACGATATGAGCTATGTGTTTACCTAGTGTGACATCAACTCAGTGTGTTTCTGTAGTCATTTATGCTTTGTGGTGGGGAGGGGGAGAAGGGAGAATGTTGCATTACTAAGATCTAGGATAACTTTCACTTGCCCCAATATGGAAAGGTAAGGATGTATTCAGGGTGGTTCTTTAGGCATTTTCAATTTAACTTAATTGAGTTCTGTAGCTTTCAACGTTGCCTGCTGTGTCTTTTCACCACTGCCACATAAAACCAAGTGTATAACATTTTTGGGTGTGGAGGATTTAATTTGAACATTTTTGTAGTACATATACAAACACAGAAATAACTGTAATAAATTCTGTCTGTGAGTGAACAAAAGATTAACAAGTGCAGTAAAAGTTTGCTTAAGTACAAAGTGGAGAGTGTTTTCTTGTGTTGAAAAGAGGCTTCAAACTGTGCATTTCTATGTCTTTCTTCTTCCACATGGTCACTTCTGAAATTCTTTTCGTATCAACCTCTGTATTTAATCTTATAATATATAATAGGCATCAAGCATTCTTAGCATTAGTTTTCTATTTAGTATCAAAGATAATGTGTGTTTATAGTTTGTGTTATTAGCCTTAGATGCTTTTATACAAACATGAAATTAATGCTGTGGACTTGTCAAATACTTGTTAAACATATATACTGAGTTAAAATAGTGTAATGAATTTTAAGCGTTTGTAGGAAGTGTTCATGTTAATAGATGAAGAAGGAGAAAGTAGCAAATGAATGTGGTAATTTGTTCTTTCTTTCCACTTACCTCACCCTTTGAGCATGCATATGTTTGGAACAGCTAAGTGAACAGTAGCTCTGTTTTTCAGGGCAATAAAAGTCAGAGAAATTCAGTTTTCCTAGTGGTATTGGTGTAACGGAGAACAATAAAGACCTTTTTGTTTTAAATGAGAAAATGTGGGTCTCATTAGTGCATATCTCAAGCATCATTTTAGAGGTAATATAGGAAAGGTATTAAATTATTGTCTTGCCTTTTTTTTTTTTTTTTTCTGTTCTCTACATAGGAAGGTAGAACTGAGGCTTTGGATTATATAGAAAATGGTGCTTTTTAAATTTAGCATATGATTACTATTTTTACATATTTTATGTACAGATTTAGACTTCTCCCCTATGTAGTTGGTGTATGTTGTCAGAGAGATTTTTATGCTGAATTATTTTTTCAAATTTTCGTGTACTTCTTGTAGCTCTGTCCATCTGATAAGGATAAGCATTGCGCTGTGCATGTTCAACATGACTCTTGTGTCTATATGTGAGCAATTTGCTTGTCAGTGTCAGAACAATGAATTAGTGTAAGGCCCTCATGTCAGTCCATCTTAAGGCTGTCCCCAAACGGCTTTGAAGACTTTTGCCATTGAAGCAAATACTGAGAGTGCAAGCCTTGTTGTTCGTTTTGCTTGCACTGGTGCAGTGTGCCCACTTTTTTGGTTCAACTCAGCTAGCAATCTGTAGAATTATAGAAGTCACAGTTTCTGGAATCACTGAACCTTCTGTGCCTGTGACACGTTAGGTTCATGGTGCTGAAGTCCACCTCTTTTCTTTTTTTCTTTTTTTTTTTTTCTTTTTTCTGAGGGTGGTGGTTCTGCAGTAGCGTTATATAATATGACAAAAGTATCCAGGTGCACTATTGACTAAAACATAAAATATGAGCAGCTCACTAGCTCACTACCCCCTGGCTGATTTTCTCAAACCAGGTGAATGAGCTGGCAATCTCCAGATGACAGTGTAGTTGTGCAACAGCATAGCTGCAGTGCATAATAATTAAATTTTGTAGTTAAGCTTATTTTATAGATGTCAGTACCATCTTTGCTGTGTCATTACATTCCTGATACCCGAGGCTGGAGCTTTAAGAAGCAAAAATTCTGCTGACTTGCTTAATCTTTTCAGATATAAGTTAGCACGCTAATGTATCTTTCATTCTCTCTAGCTGTTCAGGCTCTATTGACGTGCCAAATAAAAATGCAATAGCAATTAAAAAATCCCCTTAATCATTATCACTATATCTGCTTACAGATAGAATCTTAACTTTTGTCTTATAAAGGAGTGTTTCATAGTTAATTTAATGATTTGGTATACTATTTCAGGATCTATGATCATCACACTTTTTTTTCATGAAGGTTAAATTAATTTCAATATTTTTATGATTCAAGTGTAAAACTGATTTAATGCAAGGATTCTTGATTTCTTGCATGACTAATGTAAGGATTCTTGTAAAAATTCTTGCTTCCTGTACAGTTGACCTGTACTCAGTTGGTGGCATCTGTTAACTAATCGTTAAGGAGAGAAAAAAGATTGGGAGGTAAAGAGTTTTACTGCCTTGTTTAAGGAATGCGATATCTGAATTAGTCATCTTGGAAAATAATTTTAAAGGGAACAGAGCCAGGTATAAGTAATTTTCCCTTTAATATATGGTGTGTGTTTGTCTGAAGTTTTGAGTTTAAATTGTTAAGAATTAGAATTAATTTTTTTAATTCTGAACCTCTAAAGAGGTTGATTCCCGATTCCCCTCCCCAGGATGTCCCGGCAACTCTAATCAGTGTATCTTTGTTGTGTTTTCAGAGATGCCAGGAAGCATACAATTTATGTAACTCAAGTTGATTCCAGAATTTTTGGCGTCATTATGCTGGAGATGTTTGGATTACAGAAATGACTTTCCAGATAGATTGGGTATATTGCTGTCAGTCATGGAATTAACATCTGCTTTGACTACTGTCACATCCAGTCTCACTAACTAAATGCAGGAGCACTTGACATTACATGAAAACATGTACTTGTATGCTTAAGATCAAAAGAAATGTTAGTAGTCCTGTACGTTCAGAGGAGGAGACTTTTTTGGGGAGGGGAGGAGGCTACTTCTGTCAGGTGTAGGATTTACTGGTAAATTTTTATTATCAATGTTTTGTCAGAGCAGTCATGAGTAGTCTATCTCTACTTTTTATCTAACAGTATCTTGGAAGACACATTTTCCACTATACAACATATAAATTATATAATTACAAAACCTATGCAGGTTCTTAAGAAGTAAAGCAAAAAGCAAAAAACTTGGAAGCATCTAATTTACCCTGTGTAGTAAAGACAGCATGAAGAAGCATAAGAGTCTTTGAGTATGTGTTTTGTTTCACTCAATGACTAATATAATTTGGTGGAACAGACATACAGCTCAGTAGAGTGGCCACATGAAATCACCTGGCGATAGGAGTGTTACTAGTGAAGTCACTCTGCCAAGCCACAAAGCATTTCCTAAGAAATCAAATTTTCATAGGTGCTCCCCTGTCAGCTCCTTTTAAATTGTTTCTGTAGGAGTTTCAAGTCTAGATTTGCTGTGCTAAGAACATCATTCTGATAAGACTGTGGTTTTTTTCACACTTCTTGCTCCATATTTAAAAAGAAGAAATTATTTAGATGGACTTCTGCACGCTTCCCTCCCTTTTTTGCATGCATATCTGAAATGTAATACTGTTTTTTATGCTAAAGTTTATGCTATACTTTTGTTATTATAAAAAGATAGTTTGCAGTTCTCTACCATATATGGATATTCCTATGAATTACAGACAGATTTGGGGTTTGAGATTTTTTTGTTTTCCCACTTTGAAATAAAATTTCTTAGTCCAACAATCTGAAAGGAATTTACAGGAAGAAATTATGTGAAGTGAATAAAGCAAGTGACCTGGGTTCTCTTCCTGTCTAAAAATTAATTTTTCTCTGACTATGCACGAGAATCTTACCTGTTGCTAGTGTTACCATGTTTCTGAACAAAAAGGTTTATATTCATATGTTAAAGTAGTTTGAAGGAATAGATGAGCTCTACTTTGTTCTATCTTGACCCTCTCTTTCTTGTTTATTTGCATGAGAGTTACAGCCTTTTATTTAAAGAAAAGAAAATTTCATGAGTAAAATTGACTAGTTGGAAAAAAATCAGGGAAGCAAAGGAGCCAAATCGGCATGAAATTATGTTTTCCCTTCAGTAAGTGCTGTAAAAAATAAATTGTAGTTTGTTAAATGAAGCTCTGTACTTATATTTGCTTTGGGTCGAGTTACTCCAGTTTTATAGGCTAGCTTTAAAAATAGAAATTTTACCCTGTGTCTGCATAAGTAGTCAATTTTATTGCTGTAATATACTTTGTGTTATTTTGTAGTTGCTTTACAGCTTTAACAATTTGGGGCCAAATTATGAACAATGAGTTTTAGCTGTTGTGAGCGCACTTATGTATTTAAAGCCAATAGTGTGGGAGTCTTGGCAAGAGCAATTTATTATGTCTTCAGTTTTTCCACATTTTCTGACTTTCCTTCTAGTGACTGTTCATTAACTGTAAAGAAGCATAAAGATCTGTTATAGAAAATCTCCCTGCAGTGCCCTGAAGAATAGAGTGTTATAAA